CCTTTAAGTGCAGGAACCCTGTAGGATGTTGCATCTTCAGTGTCCTTTGTGTAGAGGGAAGGTTTAAAGAAATCAGACAGCGCTTAAAGCTATTTGTTCCATGCTCTCTGCAGCCTAAGATTCTCAAGCCCACGCTTCTACCAGGAGAAAGGCAGATCATGGATGGCTTACGAGGCTATCTGCTGCCGGACGGGAGAGAGGATGGTGTGGGCGGAGTCATGGGTGGCCCCGCCTACCTGCCGGCTGAAGGTGCAATCTTCCTGACCTCATACAGGGTTATCTTCAAGGGAACTCCCATCGACATTCAAGGTAAGCTAAAAACTCCCGTCCAAATGGTATCTCCCAGGTAGGGTCTGGTGCATGGGCAGTTTTTCTTAAAATTGTGGGTAATTTGAAATTTTTATATATCCTCTGACTAAAAGGTGGCATCTCCCTAGCCCCCATGTTGTGCCATGTGCATGGGAAGTCCCACTTAAAATTGTGGGTAAATTGAAATCGTGTATATCCTCCGACTAAAAGGTGGCATCTCCCTTGCCCCCATGTAGTGCCACGTGCAAGGGTAGTTCTACTTAGAATTGTAGGCAACTTGAAATGGCCTGTACCCTCTGACTAAGGTGGTGTCTCCCTTGCCTCATGCAGGGCCATGTGCAAGGGCAGTTCCATTTAGTATTGAAGGTGATTACTTATTGACTGAGAAAGGTATCTTCCTTTGCCTGTTGTAGTACTTTATGTACGGCTAGTCCAATTGACTTCCTTATTCCTTAAGGAGGTCTGTGTCTACCTTATTTGTCTGTGACTAGAAACAGTATTGCTGGTCATTTCACACTTACCCCAAGACTAAATGTACATGTTGTAGCAATCTTACTGATATCATTGACTTTTAATCTTTTAATCTTCAGACACCCAGGAAAAATGCCTTGATCACCCTGGTACAGCTGATCAGTAATTGTGGATAGTGTTTAAATTAAATATCTGACTTAAATTATAGAACTTTGTTCTAGAATTGGAAAAATTTGACAGAAAAAAAGTGTAGATGTGGTTTGGTCTAGATTGGAAAAATTTGACAGAAACAATGTGGATATGGTTTGATCTCCTGTTTCACAGCTTGTGAGCAGGTGGTGACGAGGAGTTTCCCCGTCTCGGCGTTGTACAAGGAGAAGAAGATAAACGTCGGCAGCCTTGCCAACTCGCTTCACCTTGAGCAGTTCATGTCCGAGGGGCTGCAAATCAGATCGGTCACCTTCCAGGTACAAAACACAGTGTTACACAGGTTTTCTTGGCCATGTAGTCGATCTACATGATTTTATGGGTAGACTATGTACAGCATGCTTTACTTAACCTCTTAACATACAAATGGCTTCCAGCTCAAAATTTCCATAAAGTTCATTATTGCATGGCTGAGATTTATAAAGGGAGCAAAACCACCCCCACCAGCACCACCTGCAAAGTAAACTTGAACGGAAAGAAAAGAAATTGGGGAATAGGAAAAACAAACCCTCTGTCTGGACTGCTTGCAGCTGATCAAGATAGCCTTTGACGAGGAGGTCGGGGCCGAGAAGGTGGAGGCCTTCCGCAAGAACTGTGTCCGCTACCGCTACCCGCAGAGCCTCTACCAGACCTTCGCATTCCACGGCTCCACCATCTCTCCGCTGCTCTCTACACAGATGAAGCAGAAGGAGAAAAGCGCCACCTTGAGGTGAGACCAGGACAGTGGCCAGGGCCTGCCTGGGCATCCAAGTCCAGTTCAGGGGTAAAAAATATATACTGAACAACCGTGGGTAAAATAATTTCTCCCATTCATGAGAGATCTTTCCCTTGAATCGTGAACTAAGTTTGACAAATTACAGCTAAACTGTAAAACCTAATGAAACCTATTGGATACGAAACTAACTTTTCCATAAAATGAAACAAATTTCACCAGAAAGGGCTTAAGCATGGAAAAGGTTTCCCAAATACCCATTGTCTTTTGTCAAAGTTTATGAAAGCACACGCATTCACCATTGTTGTTGCTCAGCACGCTACGTCCTAAATTACCCCTGCTCACCAGGCCTAAAGTAGAGGAGTACACAGCATGATGCTCATCACAACAACCATCTCTGCCCTGCCAAGTACCTATTTATTTTCCTGGATGGGTAGGGGCAAATAGGAGTTAAATAACTTGCCCAAGGTCACAACATCTTACCAGCTGATGGATGTGAACCCCCGACCCTATGGTCAGAGCTTACAAACCCGAATCAGTGGGCTAGTCACCCGTTAAAGGATAGATTGGAAGTCAACGTCTTTGCAGTGGCTTTTTTTTTTTAAAAGTTGACCATGATGAAAGCGGAGTAGCGGTGTGTTAAGGTTGGGCATCATTGCAAATATTGCTCAGTGTCTTTGTTTCAGAGGTCGGCCAAAAACAAAAAGTTGATGCAGTGAGATACGGTGACTGTTTTTAATTATTAGTTTTGTAGATGAATATAATACCACTGCTGAGACAAGTTTGTTATGGAATAATAGTCAGACCCTGCTCGTTGAAAACCTAGACCTTGCTGAAGACTCAGGATTCTCAGAAATATTCTTACTAGTAGCTATAAAAAAGACACAAGTGCTATTTCTAAGGATTTTTCCCAATTGCAGGGTTTTTGCCTCAAAAATTCTGGGTTTATAGAGGTTTGATCCATGAAGTTTCACTGCTTTTTTGCATTGTGAGCAAATGTTGCAGTGCAGGACACCCGTTATCGAGCCTGTTTGATAGAACCATACCTCGTCAACTACTGAAAGCCCTGAGTAGTCCTGGTGTCTATTGTTATCATTGTTAAAACTCCTCTGAACGATGTTCAGTGGATTTTGCTGTCATCCCACATCTCTCTCACAAAGAGAAGAAAAACTAGTAGAATCGGCATTAATTTTCTGGTTTCTCACTATCTCCCTCCTGCCAGGAAATTTGCCACCAAGACATTCCTGAAGGGCAAGAAGGCAGTGGGGGTGGGTGGGGGCAGCGGCAGCAGCGGGGGCCACCACCACAAGTCCAAGCTGGGGCCGCAGCGGAAGGACCGCTACGTCCTGCCAGCTGAGCCCCTGGTGGCCCAACGACCCCCGTCAGCGGCCACGTTGCAGCGCCAGCTGACCGCCGCCAGCATGGACAGCATCGCCAGCGGCAGCCGGCCCAACAGCGTCATGTATGAGGAGGACGAGCTGTCCAGTAAGTCAGCCACTTCGCGGTGGTTATAGATACCGTGATTCCGCTCACAGTTTTTGTACACGAATCTGAGTACACAGCGTGATACGTGTGCACAAAACAGAATGTTTGTACTCTTACACCAAACAGAAGTCATCAATCATTATTATGTGACCCGAAACACCTCAGGAAAAGGTATCAGACAGACGCTTGTGAATGTGTACATGTACAGACACACATTTTTTCCCTAGTTGTGGGGACCACAACAGGTTGGAATATGGGTAATGTCAGAAATTAGGGGTCCATTTTTTTCGTGTCCCCGTCATGTGATATATAATTTTGTAAGGTCAGAACACATTTTCTATTTTCCAAGTCTGATGAATTAATGTAAATTACCTGCCAAACAAATGGTAACAATTTGAAATCAATTCTCTGGATATTTCCATGTCAAATAACAAAGGTCAGGTGTGACAGGAACATGAAAATGTCACACTTTTGGACCCCTAATTTCTGGAATTACCCATATAGATGTTATCAGGACCAAAAATGTTCCCCACAGCTCAGTTTTGACTTACCTAACAACAGACTTTGTCCCTTCAATGCAGTAAAGGCCTACGCATATGTTCTTAATATCACACAAAATACACTGTGCCGAATCATTACATGCTACATGTATGGATAAATACTCATCTTAAACATGTCAGGCAAGAATTTTTCTCTCTTTATTTGAATGTTTTTTCAATCAGCACAGTTTATCAAGAGCCAACCATTTTCCATTTTAAAAATGTCAATTTTTCAGCTGCTGTGCAGCAATTTCGAAAAAACTCATTTTAAACTTTGATCATGAGACATCATGTGTATGTCATCTAAGAATTTTGCACTAGTATGTAAAAAAAGCAAAATAAATGCATTGATTGACAAATTTCCAGAATTTGTCGAATTGGGGATGCCAGACATACTTTTTATACTTGTTTTTACTTTAGAATCGGTATGGCATTTGAAATATTCCTTATCTTTCTTGCTGACGTTGAAAATGGTTGACTCAATTTAATTTGCAACTGAAATTCTGTGTGTTTCCAATGCAGATTTGGGGTTAGAACCTTCACTGCGATTGTCCAGAAGTCGGGCCGATTCGTATGATTCAGGTTGTCACTCAGTCTCGGCCAGGCAATGCCGGCCATTGATTGGCTGATAGTACTAACCATGTGATCATCTCCTGTCAGATTTATTGGCTGAGACTCATTTTATACTCACCCCCCTTCTCCCAGATTAGTTTCTGCATTTGATCACCGGACAGCTTTTCCGTCTCTTCATGTAGAAATTGCCAGCATGAAGTAGGCCACAGGCGCGTCACACCATCACCCTACACTCGCCGTGGTTGGTCAAAACTATTGGGTCATTCTCGGTTTTTCAATCGCGTTAGATTTGCTGCGTTTTCAAACTAGAAAACAAGTGTGTGGTGGGACCAAAAAGAGAATGGTAAAAGTGCACATGTGGACCTCTTGTGTTATGTCACAAATGTGTATCATGCTGGGACTGCAGTGTGTATATGCTGTGCACTGTGTACTGGTTCAGTTGACACGGTTGCAGAAAAAAGCATACTGAAGCATGCATTTTCATTTCTTTCCTTTCTGTTGTGTGTATCGCCGTGGGCTGTGGTCGCTGCAGGCTGGCATACTTCATGGAGACACTTGTCCGTCTTTCTCTCCATCATGCCGGCATTAATCAATTAGTGTTGTCGTTGAGTAGCATGGCCTGACACGACGTTGAGCCAACATGTATGCCCGCAGCATGGGAGCGGTTGCTGATCAGAACCGCATGCCTGCCAACTGTTTCAATTTTAATTGGAACCGTTCCAATTTTTGAGTACTCATAGGCCTAAAAATTGGAATGTTGTAACTTTCAGAAGTGAAACCTAACACAAAAACTGAAAAAGTCTCACACACTGCGAGTTGGACCCCATCTGGGAAGTTCGTTTGATCCCAATGAACACACAGATCCCTAGAGTGTGGTGATCTGGAGGAAGATTAAACAGTTTTGAACCGCAAGACACATACTCCATGGGATTGAAGGTGAAATCACTGCCACACTGGTGCACAGCAATGTGTGACTTGGCACAAACACCCAGTGGCTGATTGGTTTAAATACATTCACTGCTTATATGCACACAGCTTCATCACATTTGTCCAGTTGCCTAAAGCAAAGTCACTATAAAAAAATCAAAGTGTTATTGCTGTCTGGTTCCCAGACCAAAGATCCCCACTGTGTTTGATACTCATACAGGGCTTAAGAGTGAATTGGTGTGGAAAGCAGACCGTAGCAATGAGACGACAAGGCATTTGCATTGCACACACACTCTGTGTTCCATTTTCTGAGTTACTTCTGTTGGCAGGTGTGGAGCTTGTGGATGAGTGGAAATGTACATGTTTTATTTTGTAAGCTTATTCAGGTCATTGTACAACAAGAACCAGATAATCCTTGTTCCTCATAAGCGTATATCATGTGGCTATTTGCAGATTATGACTTTGACTCCAAACCCAGAGGTTATAGAAGTCACGGTGGCTCGTTCCTTTCAGGTTAACTTATGTTTGTATGATTTCTTACATCCACTGTTTATCAGTTTCAGTTTTTTTAAATATAATTTTAAGTATTTTGGTTCCTGCAGATGTGCCATTCTAATCAATGACGATACTGGATGCTTCAAAAGCATTTACCTTTGATTTTATTCATGTGAAAGAAAACTTTTCACAGAAGCTTTAACTGGTGCCAGCTCAATCTGATCTTCAATCTGTCTCGACCAGAGTGGTGCTTTAACTGGCTTTAACTCAGCTGGAGCTTCATCAACCTGTCTCAACCAATTTGGAGCTTGAAGTGGTCTTGTATTAACAGTTTAAGCAAGTTTGGGGCCTAAAACTGGCTGTGATAGGGTTGGAGCTTAAACTTTTCTCATTGGGACTGGAGCCTAAGCTGGTCTTGACTTTTTCAGAGCTTCAGCTGGTCTTGACCGGATTGGAGCTTAAGTTGTGGCTGGCCTGGCATTTAAGTCCACCTGTGGCTAGTCTGAAGTTCAAGCCTGACTTACAACAGAATGTAACGGCCACAGTGATTGGTTAGAATGGCACCCAAGTGAGAATTTATTTTGTTTGCTGGAGAAAAAAGCCTGTCACACTCATATTTAAGCACTTTGCACAAAGGCACTTTAAAAAAATTCATAAGGGATGTCTGCGTGAAAAAAAACTGTCCGAACTTCACTTCCACGAAGAGTAACATGTATTCTGACCAGCTGACTCCGAGGAGTACTTTTGGCGTCAAACATGTCAGCAGTTTAATTGCCAATTCCCTGTTCAGTTTTAACGGCAACCTTCCTGAACCTCTCCAAATCCAGTGGCACTTTCTTGACTGGATTTGGCTTGGCCTGGCTTGGCTCTGCCTCCAGAAATACTGTAGAATCCTGCATTCTCATACATATCCTACCAGAACCTGGTTGAATCTCAAGGATTATAGTGATAGTGTTGGTGAACAGAGAGAGAGAGCCTAAATGCTTTTAATCAAGAGAGTGCTGAAATGCTGTCAGAAGTACTTCATCTTGTTTCTGCATCATACATGTTTGCAAAGAAGACGTGTCTTGTAGGTGGCTGGTCTGAAAACATGTTCCCTTCATTTTTTAGTTTCTCGACATTGATTTGACCATTACGACGCCCGCATTGAACCGCTTCAGAACATTGTGAAAAAGATTCCAGAGGAGATAGCTCTTTGCATCATTCGACCTTCGATCTTGACAACTGCCGCCCACTGATGTTTAGTTGCAGATCTGAGGGAGGCTGAACCGCCAGTGCGGTCCCCAAAACTAGAGAGGCCCCGCTCCATGTCCATACCAGCAGGTTTTACACATTTTTTGTAGTTGAAAGTGGGTGATGTCGCTTGGCTGGTGCATTTTTTCATAAATGGAGCTATGTGGGAGCGCTTTAATGCACCAGTGATGTAGTTCCTGTACTCGCGAACAGATCCAGCCGCACTATCTCTGTGCATTCGGGGCACGTTTATCGCAACCCCTGACCAGAAACAAGGTTTAGACGTCAAGCCGATAACCAGAAACATAGCTACATGTAAGTGCAGATCTAAAAACTTTTACGCCATCTGACAGAGTGGCAGTACAAAGGGAATTTTAATGTAGCAGGTGACATCATTCTTCAAGGTCATTTTCAATCAACGTGTGAGGTGGTTTCTCGGCTCTGCTGGCCTCTGTTCTTGTATTTTAGAAGAAAATATCTCATTACATGCTGTATCAAATTATCAATTTATTTTTCACTGTTATGTAACCAATTCCAACAATAGGTCTTTCTTTTTGTGTGTTCCAACGACGACGTCACACTGGTGTATTCGAAATCGTGAAAAAACTCAAGCAATGACAAAAGGAGAAACATGTTTCTGGTCACGGTAGCAAAGACACGCCTCAGGAAGGCTGGCTGGTAATAGCAGAAGCACGATGCCATCTGTCGAATAAATCAGTTGGTCCTGGGTGGTATTTCCTGAACAGTAGCAGTGGCACAGTTAATAGTCCAACTTTGCTGCTTGTGAAAGAAAAATACTGGGACCTGCTCTGTGAAAATAAGTCTTAAGTGACCCGAGCCACTTTTGGGTTTTGTTTGTGATGCACCACCCAGTTTGGCATGATGAAAACAGACGTTGTGTAGATTTTAAAATGTTGAGGATTTCCGTTGCTTGAACACTGCGCAAGATTCTTTCAAAGGCCTTTGACTCAAAAGTGGTTCTGGTGACGTGACTCACTTTTCTGTGTGGGTCACACGTATTGTTGACTACATCACTGGTGCATATGTTGTGCATAGTACTGGTAGCTATTTTATTATTGAAGCTGGTGGGCTGGGCATGGTATCAGCAATACCGTACATTGGATTGACCATTCATTTCATGAGCGCTCTGTGATAAGCTGCATGCATACAGTGCGCAGGAGCAGTCCGGCGATATTTGATTGGCAAATCGGGCTGTCCAGCATGGCGATGCATTAATTTCACGGATCGAGCTGTGTTGCACGCTTTCACGTGCATCGTGCAGACAGGCTCCCTGGAGACATTTGATTGGTTCATCAGGGCTGATTAAAACACTGCAATGCATTCATTTGATTGGCCAGTGCATTTCACCTGCATGTTAACAGGTGCCAACGTCAAGTCTTGGAGTTGGCATTCACTTCACCTAGCACCATAACAGTTCGCCGACATCCAAGTTATTTTTTGTATACCAGCACATAGGGAGGGTACACTCACCTACAACTAACAGTCTTTGTTCAACAATTGTGTACAAACCGGTACATCACATCTGTTGCCATGGCTGTAAAATTATGTTTGGCAGTGAGCCGCATGTTGCAAAAGTGACCTGGTCGAAATTTGCTCATCTGAATTTAAAAAAAAGAAAGAAGAAGAATTTGTATGCATTGAACATTTTGGTTCTTGAGAACGTGAATGAATGAGATTGAAAAGAGTTTGCACAAAAATCAAATTTACTGCCCAACTTAATCTCAATTCCGAACAACAATTTCCCAGCTTCATTTAAAAATGAGTTGGCCTCGTTGTATGCATAAAGTTAGAGCATGTGTAAGACATCACTTATGCCAAAGGGTGAATGATCAGGTTTGTAAAATGTTAAATTCCCAAGTTTAGGGTAGCGTACAAGTTAATGCACAATGTGACTTGTGAGTCTTCTTTTCATCGTATGCCACTTTTCTTTTTATTATCTTGAAAACAAAAAGAGTTTTTGTTCTGTTCTTCATGTAGAGTATTGTGATTTTAACAGCTCTGAGTAACATTTACACCTACTGCAATTGGCGCATGTTTTGCAGGAAGTGAAACAGAGGGCTGACTTTGCTGGTGAAGGAGGGTCTAGAGAAGTTTCTCAAAACGTATTTGTGCAGAATAACCGGTGTATTGTTGAACTCAAACCTGGCAATTTACCAGAATGGAACATTTTTTCTCTGCTCATGCTGTAATCTCGTGGCCCAACATTTGGCGCAAACTTCTGTGCAAGTTGAAAGTTATTGAGAAAGTGGACACACCCATTGGGCGTGTTGAAGAATCAAGGTTTCAAGTTTCACAGACTGAGGAGCAAGATTTTCATTCATGTTTGTCCCCCAAAGTAACAGTGAAACGTTCAAGCTTAAGGATACTATCTCATACTGTCACTGCATTTTCAATGTTAGAGGCTGGTAAAATGCTGAGGCCCAGTACATCTGCACAGAGATTTGAGAAACATCTCCATCACTTACTGTACATGTACTGACATCCAGGGTCTCTTAGCAGAGTTCATCAGTACTGTAGTAGTAGGAAGGACTCGTAGTAAGATTGTCTGTGGTTTAGAAAGCTGAAACATAAGTTCTGTTAACAAGTCCTTTCAACCCCGCTTCTCCCCACAACCTCCACCCCAGATCAACCCCAACCCTGCCCCACTCCTAAAACTTACCACATAATGGCTGTGGAGGTCAAAGGTTGGACAGTCCAATGTTTTCCTGAGTAGAAATATGGAATGAACATAGTGGTAACCCCTCCTGTAGTTTGCAAATCTCAGTTTCGCCACTCGGAGCTTTTGAGTTTCACGTAATCTCACCAAGAGGCTGTTGAAATTTACAAGTAAGACGTTGGAAATGGGGTTTCAAAGTTATCACTGAAATATTCTGTCAGTAGAAATCAGGACTTTTTTTGTTGTCCAACTCCGTGTTGACAGGGTAATCCAAATCTATTTGTGTGATAACCTGCAACATTGAATTAATTGAAATGGAGGGATCTACTCTCTAATGCAATTCAGTTTTCTGCTGTCACAAATGGAAAAATTGGTTGTCTACTTTCTGACCTGCTGATAGGGCACTTCATGTGTAGTGTTGTGGAATGGTAAAGATTACAACCCACAAACTTGAGCCACAAGTGGTCTTTGGAGTACTGTAGATGGGTTCCCAACCCTTCCCTCTCGAAGTCTCAAATGCACTGTATGATGGACAATCCAGGAACCAGCCTTACATGTACAGAACTTCATTAGGGTTAAGCTGCACCTGACTCAGGCAACTCTGCCCACGGCTCTGGCTTTGTGCTGTACCATGTCAATGCTCAACACAAGCCAGGACTATAAAATTGCCAATTTGGAAGTGGCTATGTGCAAGGCCACCTTACCAGGTTCCCATTTATTCGCTGACGTACATGTACATGCAAAGAGATGAGGTGTATGCGTGTGTGAACCAGTGAACTGTCAGTGTCCATCAGTCATCCTTATTTTTCACTTTGTGCCGGAATCAATTGGCTGTGGCTTAAATTTCTACACAAGTTTATGGCTTCAGTCACATTCCATTAAGCCCTGTGTACTTTCAAGCCGTAGCCAAGTAATTCCAACACAGGCTTACCGTACCGTACATAGCGCACTCTGTAGTTCATGCAGGTTCATATTGAATCCGAGGACCATTTTACCAATACATAACCATGTACATCTACACAGTATTGCCCAATCATTTGCAGTTTCATTGTCATGTTTTATGCAAACTGACAATGCATTCACATCCATGACTTCTCTGCTCATCCATTAGTCATGCTTTTAACATACATTAATTTATGCGCCATTTAGTTTGGTCATATTTTAGTTTCGTATAGCCTTGTTTTATATAATTTGCTGTTTAAGTCATGGCTTTCCAAAGGCTGGTAAAACTATTGAAATTTTCAGTTTTTTTTGTAATTCTTGTTTCCATTACAATAATGACAAGTGCACTCAACATGTAAGATGCAGAATATTCCAAAACTGACCAGTTGAGATTTGAACACCACAGTTTGAAAAAGAAAAAACCCTACTAAACTCCCCCCCCACTCGGAATACGTGTCAGGAAATCTGTACATTTAATAGCAATATCAGAATCAGGAGGACCCAATCAGAGACAGGGCTAAAGGCTGATTCATGCTTTGTGCGAAAACGGACACAAATGTGATTTTGTGACGTCAGATCAAGTATTGGGGCTGTGAATTTTCAAAAGTTGATTCCTTTTCAATTCGACCAAATTCACTACAGATGTTTTGTGACGCTGAATTCGCATTCACCAAAAGTAGGATATGAACTGAAGACGAGAGCCTAGAAGTGGAATATATTTTTCAGAAACGAATATTTGCAGAAAACCGCTGTGCCAAACTTGAGTTGGCCAAATACTTGTCAGTGGCACCATCTCTAGCCTGAAATAAACTGGATTCTTTTGTGAAATCCAAGCTTTGTCTAAACGGCAGCATGCCAGACTAACTAATTTTGGTAACTGAATCCCGTATGAGGGTCCGAACGAAGAAGGAAGAAGTAGGATGTTCCAGATGGAATTGTTTGGAATGTGAAGATGCCCCTAGACTCTAGCAGTTGTTTTCCTTGGTTTTTGTAAGATGCGACATGTACAACATTTCTTGGGGTGTTAGTGACGTTCTGTGAAGTCACTAATAACCTT